TGCGCGCGCGAGATTTATTAATCCTTTATATGTATTATTTAATTAATACTCTAGAGATATACCGTGTTGAGCGGTTCGACCGCTACTTATTATTCAAGCGACAGGATAAAATGGATTAAAAGGGTAGCATTAATAGCCGTCTCACGGCATTTAATTTTGATCAATGCGCCATTTAACTCGACCACGAGAACGGCCAAGCTAAACCGCACAATACTTAACACGCGTTCAACTGAAGCGCTGCTCTGCGAAAACCACACTCGAAGCTGAATCGACCGCTGCTTCGTTATTTTCACGACTAACACCAGTATTAAAAGCGCGAACGATATCCTGCTCGTGTAGAACTTTCCCGTGGGAATTCCTGAGAGAAGTCACGTGCGCACATTCTGTAACTATTTTCATGAATATCACTTTGACTTAATATTTATCTTTGAATTGTAGATTTTCCTACGGAAAAAATACAGGAATTAACTTTTTCATTATTTTAATCATTTTAGATTAAATATAGAATTAATTTAAAAAAATATACCCAATCTATAATTGACGAGATTGATTTTAACATATATGTTATTATATCATAAGTATTAAAAATATTTTGCGATATTATTAATAAAATGTTATTTTTATTATTTTAAGTAAGAATATGCGCGTCTTAGATTTTTTCAAATACCGTTAGAGAAATTTGACGAAAAGTTTGAAGACTTGATTTTATTAGCACTACGTTGCGATTCGTCGACGTACCCGACCGCGTGAAATAGAAGCCTGGGAAGAATGTGGAGCAAAATTAATCTCCGGTTGGTAACGGAAACGCGGGCCCCCGGTTTATAGAATTGGCTGAGCCGGCTGCAGCGGCAGCCGAGTACAGAAAGCACGGGGTCGAAAGGGCGGCCGGCGCGCGAGAACGTCGAATGTCGTTCGGAATGAAAATTGGTATAGACGTCGCTCACCTGCACGCAAGCCCATATTGTATGACATCGCGAGATTCGGATGATTTATTACGTAATATCACGGCCGCGGGCAAAAGCTGGTCCGCTTTTTCTCCCCCCTTCCTTCCTCTACCGCTTTGCACCCCCGCGTATTCCCCTATATATATATAGCCCTGCTACGCGCATATGTGTGTATGTATTTTATATGCGTGTGTGTGTGTGTGTTTTCTATTCCTCGTGTGCTCGTGTTAACCTTCCTTTTTTTACCCTATCGTTCCGTACACATTGCGCGCGTGATGTCGATTGAAAGTGTGACGTTGAAGAATCCATTGACGAGATTGAGAGATCGCTCGTATAACTCTGTCACGGTTATTTTCCGGGGCCCATCGATCGATTTAGGTACCCTGGAGATTTCGAGAGCGATATTTTGTTTTCTTTGTATAAGCATTGTGTTTGTGTGATCCCGAAAACGTTTATCTCCGCCTAAAAAAGTTCATTGTTTTCTTTTTAATCTATTAATTCCTCGATATTTCTGTTATAAAAACATCGAGTCTAAATTATATCAAAAATTGTAGAGAAAGGAAAAAGTCGATAAATAAAAAAATATTATATATATGTATGTGCAATTCTATTTGTCTCTACGTCGCTCTTTTATAATCCATCGTCAATATAATATATACGTTATTCTGCCTATCGTCACTTTGATATTTTTTATTGCAGCTACACACTCGCCGATCTCGGGACGATTATTATCAGCTGCCAACGAGCATAGTGCAAACGTTATTCCCCAATGATCGCACGGTAATATGAAACGTGTGCAATCAGACTGCAATAGGGTGTACAGTTGTAAGCATCGGTACTACAGCGGCGATGAGATGTTGAATGGTTACGCCGACGAAGATCAAGAGCATTTTCCAATTTTCGTCTGGATATGACGTAAAGCCGCCGCGACTGCCAGAATCAGAAATGCTGCTGTACGTGATAGCGTTACCGATTTTGCCGCGAAAAAACCGCGGCTACAACCGGAATGATAACATCGCCAACGACTTATCTCTTGCCTGCACTTTACGTCTCGCGATACTCAGAGATTCAAGATAACACATCTTCCTCAAATTTCTAATATTATAGCATAAAGATATTTTAGTTTTCTTTTCTGTAAAAAATTCTCCGATATAGCGACACACGGTAGTATCGCAAAGTATATAAAAATAAAAAGCAACTTGACTTGCGATTTTCTTCATAGACGTCAAATATTTACAGTCGAAATATATGTATTAATTGAATTTTTTTATATTCATATAACTGTTATTATATAAAATATTCCCTGTACATATTTTATTTATTTTTATGTCATATTTCCCCATCACAAGTTAAAAATAATATTTATATAAATCGGTTACCTTACAGTTGTTCGCCTGATGTCTCATTCCAAGTTTTCTTCCTCTCTTGTTTGTCCTTTATCGTTCCTACATAGCAGTTACACGATACACTCGCGAAGATGCGATTAATTAGGATTACGAAAATACAATCGCGCGACACTTTACACGGTACTCCCGACATTAATTGGACACGACACACACTTTATTTTATTGCGAGAGAACAGTGCACAAATCAATCCACTTAGCGAAAATTATCTTAAATATTGTAATAAAACAATTTATAATTACTATTTATTGCTATTGTTTCCATTTCTATTTCAAGTGAATAGCGCGATCTGTTTCGATTAATAGTCGTCTCGATACATTTACGAGTCATTGACTGCTAATTGTAATTATCGTAGAGAATAATCACGTTTTGTAGTGTAATACGATTACCTAATAAAGCTCCGTTACCTTCCCGCTCGAGACTCGCTGCGTGAATGACAATATAGCGATCGCGTGTTTAACATTGATATATGCTGCAAAACATGTGTGATGCACGTCACATAGATATCGTGAAAGTTTCGTTGCCGTCGCAAAATATTTCACGCGTTTTACAAGATAAATTTACATGGAATATTCGATGCCTTTCTATTCTTTTGCCTTGTATTCTTCAAATTAATTATTAATTAATTAATAAAATATTGTTGTGTGACGACTTTTTATTACTTGAATTACTCGATCCTGTAAAGAGAATTGGTTTAACGAGAGGACTAAATGAAATAACTTTCGAAGGCTGTCAAAAGAAAACGACATACAACATGTACCTTCCGTAACGTATGAACGTTAGCAGAATAGTAATCAATAATAATAATTAAAATAATCTGTTTATCTCTCTACGCATCGGTACTTGTCCTCTTCCCCTTCTCAAGTTGTTTTTCCCTTGTAGTGGGGCGCATTCCATTGCCCCACTACACCGACATACTGCCAAATATGTAAACAAGGTCGCGCGACGCTATTTCTTACATTCCTTTGATACGTGTATTACAAAATCACTGCGCGCTCTCAATCCGAAATTAATCGCGTTTTCGCAAGTGGATAAATGTCACATAAATGCCACAGAGGAGCAGCAAAGGACAAGCAAGAGAAGAAAAGAAAGAGAAGGTCCGGGATAGCATCAATTAATAGTGAACCATAAAGTAAGCAGTTTATAGTTTGTTTAATTTATTTGTTACTTTTATGATTAATTACGTGCTTATCTTCTCGGTATTGATTTATTGTACATTATTGTATAATATAATGCGTACATAGAAAAAATTATTCTATATAGATACTATTTTAAAATAATTAAAATATTTAGTAAAGTATTTGTTAATATTTTTCTAAAAACATATACAAAATATTGTTTAAGATATTTATAATTATTTAGATTATTCATGTAATTTATTATATTTTATAAATACTTGTATAAAAAACACTTTTTTTAGAAATTATATAATTATTTTTTAATTAAATTTTGTTTGAAGAATTAATGAAAAATTCGAAAAAATTACATAATAATATTAATTTTTATAAAACAAATTAGTTGCCGCATTTTCTCAAGGCACTTTAATTTTATTTTGTTGATCTCTTAAAATCTCCCAAAAAATTCTCTGTGTGTATATTTTAAAATTGCATAATTTTATTGCTCTTGTAATGTAAAAAATACAAATAATACAATTTGAAATAATACAATAAATTAATTTATATAAATATTTTTAATTAAAACAAAATTATATTTTATTCTTAAAATAAACAAAAACATTAAATTTAATAAAAATTTGTTTTAAATTGGATAATTAAATATTGATACAAATTGATATTAAAAATAAATATTAAATATAATTAGCATGTAATACATAAAATCTGGTATTAATAATCAATTAATCAATTGTGTATGTGTGTGAGACTGTTGTAACATATGTAATATTTGCACACAAAAAGAACAATGTATATGTATGCAATAACTTTGCTATTCAATTATTACAATAATTGTGGAATTATATGAATTAATGTAAGATGAATGTGCAGATAAATGTGCAATTAAAATGTGTTCGTCACATAACGTTAAATTTAACTTTTTAATCATTATTAGGCAGTAATTGTTTTAATCGCCAAATTATTATTTTGATTTTAATATGACTTTAAGTAAAATAGTAAATACATATAATTTTAATTTAATTTAATTTAAATTATTTTTATAGTAATTATATTATAATAATAATTTAAATTAAATTAGATTAAAATTATTGATATATTGATTTGTATTAATTATTAATTAATTATTACAAAGTAAAATTCAAATTATTTCCGAACAAACTTTTTACGTTTATAAAAACATATATCCCAAATTTATTTAAAGCAAAATATTTATTAATAAAAACATTATATATATATAGATATATATCAATCAATACACATATTTATGAGTTAATTAATTTAGTATCTACATTTTTTATTTGTTTTACTATTAAAACGTAAATTTTGTATTGTATTCATATATCTTAATATTCATCAAATTCTTAAATAGATTAAATTTTTCTCTAGAAATAATCATACAAACATACACATAAGAAATAAAAGAATAAAAAGAGTATTGTGTTCTCCTTAAAATCTTTTATATTAGATTTATGGCTAATGAATTAAAATCTGAATAAGTGATTTAAAATTAACAAGCTCTTAAATTTATAATAATGTCTTTTCTTATCGTCATTATACTATATATTTGTTTGAAAATTACTTTATCTATAAACATGTTGTGCATAACAAAAAAATGCAATGTCTAGACAATTTAAAGTTGAAAGTCAATCTTATATATAATAACTATGCTCTTACAAGTAATTTCACAAATAAGTGAAATCTTACATTAGAAAAGTGTTGCATCAATTTGCAATATCATTAATACAAGGTTCGTCTACTAAATCATCTCCCTTGTTCGCACCTATAAAATTAAATAATAAATTTTTGTGATAGATTGCACAATTCTGCTCAATTGTATTCGCGTATTATGTTTGGACATAACATAATGTGTCCTAAATCAATTAACGATTTAATATATACTCTATATCAACTCTCACTGATTATATATTACTTACATTATGCATTCTATATACTTCCAGAAAATTAGAATTATTTTGTCGACATGGAATAGATGCGATATGGGTTCTAATCGTAAAAGGTAGTTCAATTTCAGAAGTAGGGTAGAAATAGTTTCTCAAAGTAGTACGACATCTTTTGTACAATCTAATAACAATATAAAAAAATAAACATATAAAAAGCCGTTTTTTTAGATATATAGATATTCTAGTAATAGAATATATTCTTAAAAACGCTTATTTTACTAATAAATTGAACAAAATCTTTAATACGTAGCAGTTAGTGATTATTACATGTCTTAATAAAACATATATAACGTATTTAACATTCTTTCCAATTTTTATAATAAAAAGATATAATATCCAGTTTTGAAAATTAAAAAAATTAAAATTTTTTGATTTAAAATAGATAAAGAACAAAAATTGTTTTTATCAAAATATAGTTTGTTATTAAAACAAACAAAATAATTAGTTCTATCTTAACACATACACACGCTATATCATATTAATATATATGTATAAAAATACATTACATATATTTATAATTTATTTTTATGTATGTGTACATATATCAAGTTTTTTCTCAGTAAAATTCTTTGTTAGTTATGAGAATATTACTTGTACATATAAATTAATTAATTATCAAATAATAAGCATAAATGTTTCAATAGAAATTGATTTACCTAATAAAAATAGGAAAACATATTATGAAGAATAGAATCATCGATATTACAACAACTGATACCACAATTACAAAATTCCAAAACGAAGTATAAGCACGATGTTGTACCGCCCTCTCTCTTATATAATTTTCCGGTTCAATATTTTGAATGTAATCTGCATTGTATTCTGTATTTAGATTACTATTTGAGAATTTATTCGAAAATAAATGTGTTGTTACAGTATCTAAAAAATAATTTTGATTGATAATTGATTGCACAGTTATCGTTAATATATTAATTTTATTAGAAATCTATTATGAATCTTTAAAGTTGATTAATATTTTGTTAATAATAAGAATTTATTATTAATGAGTTACTTTTGTTATAAAAACTAATATAATATTAATAATTGTATTAATAACATTAAAGTAGTAAAAAAAGTATATCAATAAATTAAGTTTTCTGATAATAATTGACAATAAGAAAAAAAAAAGTATATATGTAAGTGTATTATATCATTATATAGTCGTAAATTTTGAAAACATTTTTATAATTTCATAATTATATTCTTTTTATTTTTTAATATTGTAAAAAAGCAAGAATTTACAAAGATACACAGATATTATGTTCTACCCTCATATGTATACATCCTAAGTCTCATTACGAAAATAGACTAAACGATTAATTGTAACATCACAATATAAATTATTATCTTACCTAACATTAAAATTGTGAAAATAACGATCCATAGTGCATGCATTATATTATAATATATATTATAAAAGCTCTTGTTTATTTTTTTTCTTCAGAACATTTAATAGAAATGGATTGCAACTGTCTTTATTTGACCAATCGTTATCAGTGTCACCGTATCAATTGCCTGAAATCAAATCATTAACATATAATGCAGAAAGTAACATAAAATCACAAGAAGAAATTACGAAAAATCAAAATAATACGTAAGAGTTGTATAAATGATGAATATATCGGCTAGTTTTGAGAGAAGAAACATAAATTCTATGGCAACTCGATAAAATGATTTGCCGTGTTCATGTGTCAGCAGCTTTATTATAATAATAACTACAACAAACATCAGAGTTTGTAAAGACAAGACAATATTGAAACAATATGCCAACTGACATATTAAAATGTGATCTAAAATGGTAGCTGATATAGAAAATTAACGACTCTCTCTCTCTCTCTCTCTGTACGATATTAAGATTTATTAATCTTACCAAATCGTGACTTTCCGCTTGACTCTGCGCTGTCTGTACGCATATAAACAATATTATAATAATAAACGCACGCAGTTCATGAAACACACACAAGATATTATGGGCCTATTAGCTTATTCGAATGTGCCCTATTGACTGTCAATGTCGCATGAAATTGTTTACCCCTAGATGTTTATGTATTGTTATATACTGGAGACCTCGGATTCGATATATTTATATGATAGAGAAAAAGAAAGAGACGCGGCTATTCCCACTCTCTGTCAAGCAAACAACTTCCATAGGCAATAAAGGCTTACGATTTAGAGGAATTAAATTACATTTAAAATATTTAGATTTTTGGTGGATTTGGCATATGTGTGTGCGTGCATGCGTGTGTGTGTATCGCCATCAAAAGTATCTGTTTCTTGATATATTAGGTTGTAATTATTCTTTATTGCTAATAAATAATCTGCAATTCTGCAATCTCTATATACGAGAGACACTATCATATCACAATGACGAACGCAAGGCTCATAAGAAAGACACGTACGAGATATTAAGAAGTTATTGGTGTACTTGCAATTAGAACTTATTGGTCTACTTGCACATATTTTATTGGTTGTTGATGTCGTTATGGAACTGCTTACCATTAAATACTTGTCGATTATATCATATCTTTCTCAACAAGAATCTTGGAATTATTTTTTTTTTAAATTGAACTGCACGTTGACAATAAGAAAGAAATATTAAAGTATGTTTCTTTTTTTTCTGATGGATTTGTAGCTACAAATTTTTAATTTTTTGTTTTAAAAATATATATAAAAATGCTTTCAAAATGCATCAAATCAGCTGTCTACATGTGACGAAATATTCAAACTTACATTCAACAAATAAATGAAAACACTTAAAATATGTTAAAATATTAATTTAAAAAACAGATAAGATTCTCATGTGGCTAACGTCAAGAAATTGTTATTTTTATTCATAACTTGTTTATTTTTACATTTGTATTATACATTTGATTACAAAAAGAAAACCAATAAATCGTAAAAATACAAATATAGCGACGAGAATGTAGTACATAATTTATTACTAATTTTAATACACAAATTAATTGCTGAAAAGTATATATATCTTTTTTAAAGAATTCAGCACTCACACATCATTTCTATAAATTAGTATACATATAATGTATTATTGAATTATTACAATATGTAATATGTTCACATTATGCATATTTATATGTCGTAAATATTGTAAATATAGTTCGTATGAATATATAACAATGACAAGTACGAAAAATTTTTAATAATACTAATTTAAACTTTGTTAATAATTAAAAATTATTTAAAATAAATAATTAATGTTATAAACAAAATCAAAATTTTAATTTATAACAAATAATTATAAAAAAAACAAAGTAAAAAATTGTGTTTATAATAAAATTTTTAAACTTGTGTTATATAATCATAAACTAAAAAAAGTTAATTACAGTGTTATTAGCTATTCTAAGATTATCTCTTAAAATATTATTTGAAATAGAATAACTTTACAATGTAATACATTATTTTTTGTCATTGCACTCTATATACGTTTGTCAAAAAATATTTTATTTTATGAACAAATGTTAAGCATAAGACATGCATAGTCTAAAGTTGATGACTTAAAGTTGCAGATCGAACTTAATGAAGTAGTAATTATACTTTAACAATATGTTAGAAACTTTACTTATGTACTCATATAATTATTATAAATTTAGAAATCAGTTTGCATGAAAACAGTTTGCTCAATTGAAACCTGTAAAAGTAAATTAGTAATAACATTAACATATAAATATAATTAATAAAAATATAAAAAATATATATATATATTTATT